TTCCATCCACCAGGAGTCGGCAGCTTTCCTGCTGGAGCTGGGAACACCAGCGCCTTATAACGGCTCCAGATGCCCAGACGGGACCTGGCTGGCCTGGGGTTACCCTGGGGAGAAAGGACAGGGATTTAACATCACAGTTTTCCCACATCCACCAAGTTGCTTCGGTGTAAGACTCGTTTCCACACCCCTGCTTTCCCTGCGCTGCCGGGAACTGGGCAGGGTCTGCATCTTCCCAAGGGCAGCAGGGATTCACCATTCCCCTGGTGAACATCTCATCACCACCTGGAAGTCCCTGGAGGGCCTCAGGTGGCTGTCTTGGGGTGAAAGGCAAGTGGAGCAGGGCACAGGATGAGCCGTATCCCTGTTTTTTTGCGGTGCCTTTGGCAGAGGAGCTTCCAGCCTAGCACGGAGAAGGAGCTCGGGGCAGTGGGAGGGATCAGGGGCTCAGCGCTCCAGAGAAAGGGCTCATTGAAGCAGGGACGGGTCATTTGTGGTTCCTGGGGGGTGGTGGCATGCACAGCAGCCAGCATTCTTGGTGGTCTGCTCTCCGGACCCCTGCCCTGCCCAGCAGGCTTGGTCACCCACCCTTTGCTGTAGGCAGTGCTGCAAAAAACCCCCCACCCCTCAAGCATCCGTGGTTCCCACCGAGTTGGTCTCAAGGTTACAGGCTTGTTCTCCAGCTTGGCTGGTCCCCGCTGGTGTGGGGATCAAAGCAGGGCAAGACAGTCCAGCACACATCCCAGATGCAGGATTTGTCCCCTGTGCCCAGCACTGGTGTCTCTCCTGGGTCAGGAGAAAACACCTCTCTTAGGACACCACCCAAGGAGAAAGCAAAGATCAGTGTCCTGGCCACAAAACCTGGGCTGCTCCTGTCACCTGGGCTACTGTACCAGCCTGTAAATCCCTTCTGGGCAGCACTTGGTTGGACAGGAGGAGCAAGGACAGCTCATCTGGGTCATCACAGGGCTCCATGTGCTGCCTGGAGGGGACAATAAAGGTTTGGACAGACGACGACCTGGTGCACCTGGAGCCTGAGGGCACATGCAGTGAGTGTAAAACGAGTAATTTAAGCTGCTCCCGAGCAGAACCTCCCATCTCTAACCTCACCTGCAGGCTTCAGCTTCCCGGGGTGCACATTTAGGAGGGGAGCAGAGGACCAAGCCAAGGCAGCTTGAAGGACCGAGGCACAGAGCCAGGAAGGAAATGAGAGGAGGAGAAACAAACTTGGCTCTCTCCTTGAGCAATTGAACAGGACTTTGCATTCCCGACTTTCTCCTCCAATGGGCAGTTTCCGGGCTTCAATTTGATGAGACTTGGGGCTATTCTAGGCAGCTTCACAAACATTGTAGGAGGTGATTTTTGTTTTTCTTTCCTTCCAATTTTTTTTTTAGTCTGAATACACACGTTTTTAAGCAAAACAAAACAAAACAAAACAAAAACAACAAAACCAACAAAAAAACACCACAAACCTGCCTGGGCAGCCTCCTTAGCTGTGCCTGGGGGCAAACCAGAGCATTGCCTCACTCGAGCCATGGCTTGGAGAAGAGCCAGGGGCAGGATGAAAATTGCTGGGAGATGAAAGGAGAGAGGGAAGTGTCCGTGGCACGTTTCCCGAGGCCAGGCTTGAGAGGAAGACGGGAGCGGAAATAGTTTGGTAGAGTAAATAGAGAGGGAGCTCAGGGTGGGTTTGTTGGGTTTTTTTTCTTCCAGGTTGCAGACAAAGAGCAGCAGGGAGAGCAGATAAACCCCCCACGCCTCATCTCTTTGTTGTGCCTCTGTGTTTTGCTGGCTCACACTGCTGCTGGTAATCTGATGAAGCAAAGAATTGTGGAGGGAATTACTCCAGGGGTAACAAGGTCCCCAAAGGCAAAGATGGATGGTTGCAGACAGGGGGGGCTGGATGGACAGAGAGGTCTCAGGCAGGGAAGGAGCTTGCAAGTAGGTCCTGGGCTGCTGTCCCTCATCCAGGAGCTCAGTTCTTGCCTGTTGAATCACCGGAGGAAAATGTGACTTCATCCAGTCACACCTCCAGTTGGCTTCCCCTGCCAGCCCGCAGGCTTCTTTCCTTCCCTGGCTCCCACCCCACAGGTGTCTGGGGCAGCCAGAAGAGGGGGATGAGAGCCCCAAAGCTTCGTGAGAGACCCTCCTTTTCCGGCTCTGTGCAGGGAGAGGCTGAAAACCTCTGCTCCTCCCTCTTGGGGCAGTTGAAACACTGCAGAAGGGTGGGGAGGGCATCCCTTCCCATTTGGCATCTCTGAGTCCTTCCCTTCATCCTTCCTTCTTGCTGTGGTGGGATTAAGTTAGCTTGCTGGGGAACAAAACCCCCATCCCCATTCTAAAGAAAAAGCCTCTTTCAGCTGGGAAATCCGCAATGCCTTTTATCATCTCGACAGTGGGAATTGTTGCAGTTCCTGTTGATAGGAAAAGCATTTCCTGAGGGCTGGGGAAAACCAGGGAGCAGCTACAGGGGAGTTCCCCCAAGCCACCTCTGCCACCTTTCAGGGCGTCTCAAGTTTAGTGCTCCTGGAAGTCACTCATCCCAGCTTTGAGACGTGCAGATGAAGGGGCGAGCCTTGGCCAGCCACCGCTGGGGATGGTTTTCATTTCCATTTCCAGGTGCTGATCCCTTGGGAGCAGGCACTGATGGCAGCAGCGTCCCACAGGCTCTCCTGGCAGGAGCAGGGAGCCATCCCGGTGCCCTCTGGCACCTCCCTGCGCAGCAGGGAGCCCCCAGGGCACACAGAGCCCCTCTGTTCCCGCTCACAAAGGCACACTTGTGGCTTGCTGCCTGCCCTGGCCGGGCTGTGCTGCATGGGCCCCAGCAAGGAAGAGCTTCAGGATGCTGAGCAGACCCAGCCACCCTCACCAGGTCACCCCACGTGTCCCCCAGCCCCACAGCTCAGCCCTGTGAGGGCCCCTGCTCCTGCTGCCACCACCCCCTGGGCTCCAGGCAGGACATTTGCAGCTGGCTGTTGATTTAATACATTATTTCTGCCCTGAGCCTGCGGATGACTGCTGGAAAGGGCTCTCTGCACCATCCCTGTGACTAACTCCTAGTCTGCACATCATTTGTGGTCTGGGGACAGCAGAGTTGGGAAAATCCCAGGCTGGCTTTGCTGGGGTTTTGTCCGATCAAGCAGTTGCATGACATCCCCCTTGTGTGGGTGCTCCAGGCAGTGAGGGGACAGTGCCCTGCACCAGGGAGGAGAGGGATGCAGACCATTTGCCACCATCACTCCTTGCAATGCCACAATTGCAGCTGTCACAGTTTATGGCCACTAACCAGACAACAGCTCTGCTGGGAGACCTGGCCACTCGCTGAGGGCTTTCTATATTTTGTTTCCTCTCTCAGCTGCTCAAATCTTCTGACAAGTCCTGTCATCACTGGGGAGATCAAGAGGGACCAAGGAGGGGGGGGACACACGACTCAGGGGGTGGCAAGGTGAAAGGCACCTGCCCCAGCTGCTGGCCTGTCCCCAAGGAGCAGCGTGCTGACAAACTGAACTCACAGGGCTATTACACACACAAAATGTCCACGTGCTGAGGGATGTTGGTGCTACCCTCTGCAGGGGAAAAGGGGGTGGCCAAGGAGAGGGGCTCAGGAGCCACCAGTGGTGTGTCCCACTGAAGCCCCAGTTTCCTGGGTGTCTGGGGGTAGGTGTCTTGTGGTAGCAGCTATTGCTGGGAAGGAGGAGGCTGAAAGCCAAGCCCTAGGAGCAAAGCAGTTTGCTCCAGCTGGGATCCTCCAAGGGGATGAAACCCTCTTCCCTGCCTGCACTTCCAAGGCTGTCCCTCTTTCCCAGCGGGAGGGGCATACAGTGAGCAACACCAAAAAAATGCACATTTTTTGGCCCCAGAACACGTGGAGGAAGTTTGGTGTGACGCAACACCTGGCAGAGCTTCCCCTCTCCACACCCTGCCCAGACAAGCACCTCCCCACCAGCAAACACCGAGGGCCCCCCAAAAGAACCAGGCTTTTCCACCCCCCCAATCAACCCCTGAAAGCAGGTGGGTCACCCTGGTGAGAGCCAAACTGAAGCTAAATAGACTTTCCCTGAGTCACCAAAAGTCTGGCCAAGAGAGTGGGATGAGCAAAGGGCAGCGCCCACGCCGGCTGTGCGAGCCAGGGAGCTGGCAAGCCCCAGGCGTGGGAATTTGCACACCTCTGGCATGTGCTGGGGACCTGGCCCTGGGGTCCCCTGTTGTGGCTTTGGCACCCAAAAATCACCCCAAAGCATCTGGTGCAGCTCAGAGCGGGGGTCGCCATCACCCCGATTTCATCAGCGCTGGGAGGAGGAGGGGGGGGGGAGAGGAAGAGGAAGAGGAGGGCTGCAGGGGAGGGATGCTCGGTCTCCCAGCAGGTTTTGCGTCCTGCTCCGAGCAGCTGCACCATCATTTTTGGGTTGCTTTCTGGAGAAAGCCTCTAAGAGCCTTTTTACACCCTGAGCAGGACCTGCAGCTGCAGCAGCAGCGTCTTCCGGCCCGCCATCCTTCCTGGAAGGCCTCTGGGTTTCATTTTTGTGGCCACGGGAAGGCAGGAGCCATGCAGAGCCTGCAGCCCTCCTCTTCCCAGAGCCTGGGAGCCAGGATGCCCCGTGGATCAGGATGAGGAGGCCCTTGCTGCCAGCAGCAGGTTTTTTTTGGCCAGCAGCTGTCAGGGAGCTGGGGTATTGGGTTTCAGTGCTGGCTGGGGTGGGAAGGGGTCCCGTCAAGCAGATGTATTTTGGGAAGGGGGAGTGATGGGGGCCTCGAGCAGCTGCTTGCTGCTCCTTGAGGGCAGAAACTCCCTCCTTTCGACCTCTCTCATCAAGACCTTGTTGCTCATCCCTTGTGGGAAGGGTCAGCCTTGACCCCTGCCCCCCCCCCATCCTGGAGACCCAGCACAGCACTGACCCTCCTTCTCCCCACAGGCAGGGCCAGTGGGGCAGAAGATGCCAGGCAGCTAGCCCAGGACACCTCCCCGGCGGGCGGGAGGAACGCCGGCCTCCCTCTCTCTCTCCATGGAGACCCGATGCTCTTTGCCTCAGGATTCCTGGGAGCTGCTGCACTGCCTGAAGATGAGGAGCAAGTACGCCATCCTGCTGGTCTTCATCGTCGGCCTCGTCATCATCGAGAAAGAGAACAACTTCATCTCCAGGTAGGGAGAAGGTACCTAAAAGCCCGTGCTTTTTGCCCCATCTCCCCCCGACATCCTGAGCTCCTGTGTGGCGGGATTCCCACCCCACCCCCCCCAGCATCCCCCTGCTGGGACACGGGGCTGGTCCTGCCGCCCTCTAGGCTGGGCTGGGTCTCCCTGCAGGGTGTCGGACAAGCTGAAGCAGTCCCCGCAGGCGCTGGCAGAGGACAACGGCACCGAGACCAGCCCGGCGCCGGCTGAGAACGGCT